TTTGGTGACTGCCTAGCTTCACTCAGCAAAATGGTATCCAGATCCTTCCATGTCATATGTTGTCTCATCTTTGCATCACTGATGTTTAGGGATGCATATTCCACTGTGTTATGTAGCATAATTTCTTTATCCATTCTTCCACTCTTAGGCATCTGGGCTATTTCCAGTTACTTGAAATTCTGCAATAAATATGAGAGAGCATATATCCACTGGTCTTTTGTTTCTTAATTCTCTGGGATCTATGCCCCATAATGATATTGCTAGAAAGTATGGTACTTCAAATCCCAGTTGGTTAGGTTGTTTCATATCTCTTTCTATAATGGTTGTATGTATGTATTTACAAAACCACCAACAGTGAATATGAGTTCCATTCTCTCCAAATCATCTGTAGCATTTGCTGTTTTCTAGGGTTTTCTTGTGTGAATTGGGCTGTTATTATGGGTGTCAGTTGGTATCTCATTATAACTTTAATATCTGTCTCCCAGATAGCTAATGATCATGAGCATTTTTCACATATTTGTTAGTCCCTTGTACTTCATTTGTGGTGAATTGTCTGTTCATGTCTTTTGCCCACTTCTTTACTGGGTCATTTCTTAATCTCTTATTGAGCTATTGTAGAGTTCTGTACATTTTGGTGATTAAACTCTAGTTGACTGTGTTGTTGGAAACATATATAAATATATGGGCTCTTTTTTTGCTCTGTTGATGAAGTTTTTGATGTGCATAAGTGATTGATCATTAGCATGTCCCTGTCATCTCTTTTGTCTTATACTGCCTGTGCTTCTTTTATGACACTTGGTAGGCTATTTATGCCCTGCAATAGCACTCTTAAATTTGTGACCATTTTCCTATTGATGATCATATAGGTATGGAGTTTACATCTAGGTATTTAATCCATCTTGAGCACATTTTTGTGCATGGGAAGATATGTGGGTATTTTTTTCATTCTTCTGCATATGAAGATTAAAATTTATCCAACACCATTTGTTGAAGAGGTTGTCCTTATACCATTTGAAAGTTTTTGGTCTTTGGTTGAAGATCAGTTGCCTGTAGGATGTTGTATTTAGTTCTGGGTTTTCTCTTCTGTTTCATTGGTCTATGTACGAGTATCAGCCTGTTTTGACTACTGCGGCTATGGAGTAGTGTTTAGGTCAGGGAGTGTAAGGCCTCCTACTAGTTCTCAATTTTAAGTTATTTGCTTACCCTGGGACTTTTAGCTCTCCTTATGGATTTGTGATTTGTTTTTTCCATGTTTCTAGATAGTTCTTTGTCAATTATATTTTAATAATTATTTAAATTGGTATTTTATTATAGGTTAAAACCTATTCATCAATCAAATGTGATTTCTAGAGCCTTTCATTGTCAGGAGAGACCAGTCCTGGAAGAGGATACTATGTATAGTAAAATAGCTGGGCAGCAAAAAATGGAAAGGCCATCATTGAGATAGATTGACAGAATGGATTCAACAATGGATTTAAAGATGAGAATAATTGTGAGGATGAGGGAGAGCAGGTAGTGTTTCTTTATGTTGTACATAGGATCATTTTGAGTTGGAACCATTTGGATGACACCTAACAACAACATATAATATCTGATGATGCTAGTCATAATTGCTAGGCCGCTAACTACAAGGTTGGCAATTCAAATCCATTTATAGCTCTCTGCAAGAAAAATGAGGCTGCCTACTCCCTTAAAGATATAGAGTCTCAGAAACTGTATATAGGTTTATTATAATTTTGTATCTTACACTGTCCATTATCTTCCTTCACCTACATTTCTGTTATTTGTCCCATTCGGAAGGAGGGTGCTACATATCCAAACTTGTGTTAGGTTCTCCCTGTCTCCCCTTCCCCCTCCCCAACCATCCTCCTACCCTTATAATATCACTACTTTCACTATTGTTCCTGAGGGGATTATCTGAGCTGAATTCCATGTGTTGTGAGCTTTAATCTCTACCAATGTGTATTCTCCAGTTCAGCCAGATTTGTAAGGTAGAACTGGGGTCATGATAGTGGAGTCGAGGAAGCATAAAAGAACTAGAGGAATGTTGTATGTTTCCTCAGGGATATACTGTAACCTAGCTGACTTGTCCCATCCTTGTGGCCCTTCTGTGAGGGGGTTTCCAATTGTCTACATTTAGGCTTTCCAATTGTCTACATTTAGGCTCTCCACCCTCATCCACATGAATATGATTATTTGTTTTGTGTCTTCTGATGCCTGATACCTGATCCCATTGACACCTTATGATCACATGGGCTGTGTGTTTCTTCCATGTGGGCTTTGTTGCTTCCCTGCCAGATGTCTGCTTATTTAACTTCAAGCCTTTAAGACCCTAGATACTATATCTTCTAATAGCCAGGCACCATTAGCTTTCTTCACCACTTTGCTTGTGCACTCATTTTATCTTCAGAGATCATGTTGGGAAGATTAGTATCAAAGATTGCCATGTTATCAGAACAAAGTGTTCTTGTGTTAAAGGAGGCCTTGAGTTGAGGCCCAGTGTCCATCTACGATCTTATACCTAAACATATACATATATGTACATTGACCTCTATCCTTTTCATTATAAATTAATATATTTACACATGTACGTGCCTATAGCTATACCTCTATAAATGTCTTTTGCTTCCTATTTCTTTCCTCTATTTCCTTTCTCCATCCTCCTATATGACTATCATGCTCACCCTCCATTCGGCTCTCAGTATTTCAACTCATATACATCACTCTTGATCAAACCCCACCAGGCACTCTATGCCCTACTCCCCATCAATTTAAGATCTCTTGTTGTTCCCTTATCTCTGAGTTTTTTGGCTCCCTTCCCTATCCCCACCGCTACCACTCTGATACCCATTGAACTGTTGGTACTGTTGTTTTCTCTCCAGGATTGTTTGCCCTGACTATCTTATATTGATAAAAATAGGGTGAAATAAACCAAACACCAACCATCGAACCAACAAGAACCAATGAACAAATGAACCAAAATGAGAAAAAAAACACCATAAAGAATATATAGTTCCAAGTCTGGCTCCTGACCCTTTTAAATGTTTTCTGATCAAGTATGATGAGGTGCCAAGCCCTGTCCCCCAAGTCAAAAATCTATTTTCAGGATTCCTTGGGGACTTGGTTACTTTGCTCCCCTTGCTGCCCTGTGGCACTCCCTTTGTGTTTCACGCTGCTGTGCATGGGGCACACCAGACAATTTCCACAACTGTGCAAAATACATTTTAAACACTTAATTTCCATTCTTGTTGATTCATTACAGTCTTAAATAATTTCTATAAAATGTGTGAACTACATCATTGTACTCAATAATACTCCAAATAATAGTATATAATAACATCACTTAATGTAAATTTATTCATAAATCTGGGATTACCATAAAAAATAAATCTACTTCCATTGAGTCATTCTGATTCAGGAGGATTATGACTACATGAATAATTTTCTGTTAACTGTTTTTACTATAGGAGCTTTTCTGACATAAACTGTAGTGATTTCTTGAAGAGTTTTGATAGTTTCATAATCTACATTTCTGATGATGTTTCTACAATTGGTTAGACTAGGAGTTACATGTATTTTTCAGCTCCATCATATATCATTAGATTAAAAATAAAAATAAAAATGTATATTTTGATACAATATATTAAATTATACACTGCTCAAGATTAGTTGCATTCTATGAAGCCTGGACAAAAATCAACTGGAGCTACAAAAAGAACTGTAAGAATAATGGTTAGATTTTTTTTACATTCTTGTTTGACTGACCATCTTGTTGCACAGTTAAGACTTATTTATTCATTTACTTTTAGAATTCTGTTGATGCCTAGGCAAAACAAGCATCACAAACAATTTAATTTTGTGTAAAATATAGCAGAGATCATAAAGATGAAGACAGCATGAGCGATAGAAAATATTATTTTTACTTGTTTGAAAGGAAGACATGTTTTAATTGTTATGATTTCTTCAATGGTTTTTATGGAATAAAAAGTAATTAATGGTATGAATAATTTATTCATCTATAGAATAATCTATTCATTAAGTAGAATATAGGTCATTATACATCCTCTACAAATGAACAGGAATATCCACATTTAAACTTCAATAATATATGTAGGTATTTGCCAATAAAATTATTTCACTCCATATTAACGCCAATTGATAAAGTGTTCTTCCATTTAACTATGTATGATATTCTCCAATATATTAAACAAATAAATAAGAAATGTAAATATTTTCTCTTGGTTTTACAATATTTCAAAAACATCATCTCCTTTTACTTTCACATTAGTAAATACTGCTGCACCTCAGATATCTATGATATATTTTCCCTATCTCCTTTGTCTACTCTGCCTCTATTGCCTTTTTTATTATAAAATTTCTCATTCTTAGTTACTATCTGTGCATGTAGAATAAGGCAAGATAATTACCACCAGGGCTAATTATGCAAGAAGTAACAGTATAAAATTAAATGCTAACAGATCAAAATTACCTAACATACTCCAAGCTATGTAGAACAGAATTGATAAGAAATTATTATTATAGTAAAAATGATATAAAATTAAAAGTATTCGTGAAAGCATCAAACACTGATAACACTGACTCAATTATTATTTTTATCTCAGAAAAGACATGGAAACACTATTGAGAATATTCCTGTCTTAAAGGATAATGAAACCCATAAAAACCCAATTAAAGCAGTTTACCAATGAGATGCCTAATACATTTTCCATTGTGGAATTGTGAGATTCCATGGAATTAAAAAGGGATGTGGTTAAAAGGAAACAAAGAATATTGTGAAAAAAATACATTTAATTTCATATATATATTATAAGGAAGTATTTGAATAAATAAAATGGACACAAAACATCTGCCTCTGCTTTATCATTGTTGTTTGGTGTGGAACCATATATTCACTGTGCCAGGTCAACTCTGGGTGCAGTCCTGTGTTTGGGCAATATCATGCATGACACTGACCTCCAAATAATATTGAATATTGAATACTAAATAGAAAGCTTACGGAGATTCTTAAAGGCTCTGTGGAAGGCACTTTTTACCTCTTTGTTCCTTAAACTGTAGATCAAGGGATTGAGCATGGGAATGACTAAAGTGTAAAACACAGAGGCAAATTTGTCAGTTTCAAATGAATGAGCAGATTTGGGCTGCAAATACATGAATAGTAGAGACCCATAGAACACAACCACCACTGTCAGATGAGACCCACATGTGGAGAAAGCTTTTTTCCTGCCCTCAGCAGAATTCATTCGGAATATAGCTATCAGAATCAGCATGTAGGACACAAGAATGACCAAGAGGGAGGATATCAAGTTAATCGTTGAAAACATGATGATCAGCAATTGTATCTCTTGTGCATTTGAGCAGAGCATAGGTATCAAGGGAACATCATCACAGTAGAAATGACTGATGACATTAGAACCACAGAAGGTCAATGTAAAAATCTTAGTTGTGAACAGCAGAGACTGAAAGGTACTGTAGAGGTAAGGAATGCCCACAAGCACATGGCAAAGTCTTGGGGTCATGATAAGATTGTAGAGTAGAGGATTACAGATGGCCACATAGCGGTCATAGGCCATGGCTGACAAGATGAAGAATTCACTGATAATGAACAAAAGGAAAAAGGCCAGCTGTGTGGCACATTCATAGTAGGAAATAGTATTTTTATCCACAACAAAATTTATCAGCATTTTAGGGCAAATGACAGTAGAATTACCAAGATCAATGAAAGCCAGGTGTCTGATAAAAAAATACATGGGGGTGTGGAGGTGTGAGTCCATCTTGGTCAAGATCACCAGGCCTAGGTTGCCCATCACTGTGACCATGTAGACTAATAGGAAGACCCCAAGAAGGGGAAGCTGGGTTTCAGGGCGCTTTGTAAGTCCAATTAGAATGAACTCAGTCAGCCCTGTCAGATTCTGTCGGCCCATTTTGTCCAGGAAACAACTCTTCTGATAAAAGAGGGGGTGGAGTGGGGAGGAAGGGAGGGAGAGAGAGAGACACTTGTAATATAATTTATATACCAGTATTCAAATAATATGAAGGCAAGAATCACCAATGAATCTCTTCATGTATTTGTGAGAAAATAAATTTCTATCTTATTTTGAAGTTAAAATAATCTTTAGACTCTTTTTCAACCTCAAATAAGAGAGATTCAGAAGAAATACATTATATAGACACATAGCCATTGCTGTTAAAATGATTCCAACTTAGTGATGCTGTAGAACAGAGTAGAACATCCCCATGTAGTTCTAAATGCTGTAATCTTTATTAGAACACACAGCGTCATCTGTCAGTGTCTGACTAGTGAGTTAGAACCACTGAACTTTTGGTTCAGCCCAGTGGTTTTTGGTTAACAGCCTAATGTTTACCTTACTGACATAACATAGATTGTAAAACAGCCATCAGTATTTGCTATTTATATTCATTAGTAACAAACACATAGTTTTGCTTATATGGAAATATTATGTTTTTCTGATCTACAGAGTAACATCATCATTTTACCTTAGAACCTTTCCCATTTTTGTCTAAGAATAGTTGTCGGATATTGATATTCTTAAAGACAATGTTGGAGATGACATGAATTTAATGAACCTTAAATTTTTCAGCACCTCCTTTGCTCTTCCCTCTTCCAAAATGCTGAACTGTGATCAATTACACGCACTCTCTCTTACCATACTGACCCTTTCATTACACGTCATCCAATTCTGGTTTCCCTTGGCATGTCAGCAAGTATTTCTGGGCCCAAATAATTGGGCATTTTATCTATAACACTTTATGTGAGGATAAGAAGTTTTATTCTGGGATTCATAACCAATGTCATATACTATTTATTAATGTATTTTCTGGTGTATGAATACCTTGCATCAATCAAAAAGCACACTCAACATCATTGAGGCAATCCTGACTGATTGACAATTAGTACAGGCTTGAATTGCTCCTATACGTTTCTGAGCTGTCATTCTTTTTTTTAAAATCATTTTATTAGGGGCTCATACAACTCTTATCACAACCCATACATACATCAATTGTGTAAAGCATATTTATACATTCATTGCCCTCATCATTCTCAAAACATTTGCTCTCCACTTAAACCCCTGGCATCAGGTCCTCATTTTTCCCCTCCCTCCCTGTTCCCCCCTCCCTCATGAGCCCTTGATAATTTGTAAATTATTATTTTGTCATGTCTTTCCCTGTCTGACTTCTCCCTTCACCCACTTTTCTGTTGTCCATCTTTATAGGAACAGAAAGTCTCATCTTTTTCCCTCAGAGAATCTGGTATGCTTGGACTGCTGACCTGGTTATCAGTTCAATGTGTAAACCACCATGGCTACTTAGAATACCTTGTAAGAGCATGCCTATTACCCACTGTACTGAACTATGTCTTGAATTTATTTCATGAAAATTTATATTTATAGAATTTATTACATTTATAACCAAGATATTTTTTCAATAACCTAGATTTCCAATCAAACTAAATATTCACATTTCTGCTTCAATCTGTATTTAAAAGAATATTTCATTTTTAAAATAGAAACCTTCAAATTTGCATAATCTTCTAGATCAAAGGATCTGTATTGATTCCTACTAATAATCAAAGATTTATATTAGTATACAGAGATTTGGAATATCTAATTATATGTTTCTATGACAATAAAATGCAGTTGAAAAATTTATAAAGCATTTAGAATATGTAATTTGGCACTCATAACATAATTGGTTAAAAACTCTTAATTTCTGGAATTCTACAACATCAATGGAGAGTACGGTCAAGAAATCAAAATATATATTTCATTGGACAAGCCTTCTGCAAAAGACTTTTTTCACATGTAAAAAGTAAAGATGTCACCTTGAGGAATAAGGTGCCCCTGGCCCAAGTCATGGTGTTCTCATTCACTTCTTATATGTGTAGAAGTTGAACGATGTACAAGGCAAACAAAAGAAAAACTGAGGCCATTGAAAATTAATGTTATTGTTGTTGAAAATTTAATACACCTCTTATTACCAGAAGTGTGAACAAATCTATTTCAAAAGAAATACAACTAGAATTATACTTAGAAATGTGGTCAATTAGAGTTCATATCACAGACCTAGGGCATGGACTCAATGGAGACCAATCTCTGGTGAAAGCCATCATGCTTGGGAAAGTAGAGGGTCAGTGAAAAAGAGGAGCTTCCTCAGTGGGATGGATTAACACAGTGACTGCAACACTGAGTTCAAGAACAAAAATGATTTTGAGGATGGTGCAAGGCTGCGTAGCGTTTCATTCTGTTGGGCATGGTTTATGACTTAGCATTAATTGCAGGGCACTTAGCAACAAATAATGCAGCAGAGAGCTAAGCTATCAGGTAGATCCTTATGGGACCTCATCAAGGTCCTAGATGGGGCAGAGAATAACTGAAATCTAGAGCTAGTCATAATCTCCCTTTGAAGATATCAAAATTCTTTTACTGTAGTCAATTTCCCATTTTTTGGAACACAATTATCAGAATGTTTCTGTACATGTAAGTACATGCATTTCACATAAATCTGGAGAACTGTCATTAAACCAAACAGCTTGAAGTGAATAATTTTTTTTTTAATCTCAGATATGGGAACCACAGCTAAGAATTATTTAAGTTGGAGTGATTATTAATACCATCGTGACTCTTAAAAATAATAACAATAGGCTAATAGTTCATTAGCCTATTGCATCATTTTATAATGCTCATTCTGAAAAAAAAAACAGTTGTAACCAAATTATAAAGTAAACAAGAGATAAACATGATGATGATGCTCTATAACAACAAAAATGGAATATTTTAAGAGAGATTCTCATGTAAAATATTTAAATATTCACCAAATAATCCATGATACATACTTATACTAATAATATTCCATGTTGAGGAAATATTTTGTTGGACAAACATGATCTAAAAGAATATCTAATAACCAAATATTGCCATGGGCATATGTACAATATGAAAATATTTTTTATTAAATTCAAATGCATCTGGTCTTCTGCACACTACTGGGCATCTTTACCTTAATTTTGTATTATTTGTTGCTATTGAGTTTGTTGTGAATTATTGTGATCCTGGGTGTGAGAGAATACAGTGGTGACCATTGCTGTGCCATCCTCAGGATTGCAGGTCTGTGGGTCCTTCCTTGTGCCTGCGGTGTCACGCACTTCATTGATGGATCCTAGTTCCCATGCTGTTGGCCCTCTGCTTTACCAAGTATATGTTCTTTTGAGGAATTGGTCTTTTATGATGATATGTCCAAAATAAATCTACCCTTAACTAGATGTTATTATGCTAATCTGGTGATGACATTTTTTAGGTATTTCAGGAACTGACCTCCCTTTGCCGTAATCAAATGCCACTGCTAGTTCCCACCAAAGAAATAAACTTGAATTCTTAACTTATAGGATTTATGGTTCTGAAAATACTATAGAGTTACATGAACTCATAGTTAATAAAAGGCTAATTACATTTTCATAGCAAACTTAAAACTGATCGTGTATTAATGGCCATGATGCAGCTGCAATCAGGGGGTGTTGTAAATGACCAAAATCAGAATCAAAGACAATTCAGGTCCACTCACCTTTCATAAGGAATTTGATTTGATTTTCTGAAGTGGTTCCTTTGTTTTCTTTGCAAGGAATGAATATATGGTTTCCTTCTCCTTTGGGATGCTCCCTAAGGAATTGGCCTATATTTGACTATGTATAACCATATGTTCTTAGGGAATTAAACATTCCCTTGATGTGCCTTCTAATTATCTGGAACATCCTATTTATTCTCAAGTGAAAGGAAGAAAGGGGGAAATCAACAACAGTATCAAAACATGAGTGATCAATAAAGTCTCATGCAATCTAGAGGAATGTAAAGGTGCCCAATCACTTACACAGTCTAGAAAAATAATAAATTTGGAGCAGATGCACAAAAGGATGAAATAATTCACATCACCATCATCACTTCACAGGAATTTTCTTTGAATTTATTACCAAGAGTAATATTTTTCAGGGACTGTCTTTTATTCATACCTGTTAATCCCATTACTTAACGCATATATTTACCATACTACATCCTTTCTGGATTCAAGGGGTGGTGAAAATGGGTAACACATTCTACCGCTAACTGTACGCTCAGAAGGAACTCAGAAGACCTGGATTGAAAACCTGATGAAACACAGTTCTATTCTGTGCACATGGGGTCACCATGGGTCAGAATCTACTTAAAGTCAATGGGTGTTCTTACATTCAGAAGACATTGAGCTTCTGTAGTTACATATAATTATATAATTATGCTATATAAATTTTTTGAAATTATAAGGTGACTAGAATACTTAAGATTAAAACCTCATTTCACTTTGCCATAATACACAAATCAGTGATAGATGAGGATCAACCAAAAGTATTGCTAAAGATTCTAGCCCATACATGAATGGCCTCTCAGTTATTCATGTTAATCTCCTTGGGTGTCTTAAAAAAAAAAGTTTGCAAATTAGAATAGGGACTTCCTACAGGTAAGGATGAGCTAATTATATTCAAGGCAGAAGTCAGCTCAGTAGTTCATTTTGACAATTAGGGGGATTGCAAAATGTAAATATTGGTAGAATTTCTCATTGAGAGAGTACTATCATTGGCATTTATTATGATGCATTTTTAAGGCAATTTGAAAGTATAAGGGTAAGGAAAAAGATTCCAGAAAAGTTGCATCAATAAATCATTTCCGTCACCTGCTCATTATTCTGGGGTAGCAAGAATCTCACTGGCACATTTGTCTGCGTGCACCATACTGCCCTAATCTTGTACTTTCACAATTCTCTTTGTTCTCCAGATCCACTGAAGACTTACACGGATCATGACGAGTCACTTGAGGGTGCCAAACTACGGTTTTGAAGGGGTATGAAATTGAAGAGCAGAGAATTTGTAGGGGAAGGGTTAATCTCAAAACCAGATTCTTTGCCATGGAGGCCATGCTGACTCATAGTGTCTCCCCATGGATTTCTGAGATTATAACTGTTTACGGGAGTAATAAACCCAGTCTTTCTCCTCTGGAGTTGTTTGTGATTTTGAACCACCAAACATACACATAGCAGCTCAATGCATAACTATTATGCCACCAGGGATCCTTTAGGGAAGGATTAGGCAGACACATTTCCAGATGTGTATATAGGTAGAAAGAGAACATGTAGAAAAAATAATTTTACATTTTGATAGTTTTGTTTATCTAATTTTTTACAAAATTTTGAGTTACTTGTATATTTACCTTTTCCTTTAGTATGGTAAATAATTATGAATTGTTATAATGTAATGTGTTACCATGACAAATGTCCCAGCATGAAGATTTTCCACTGTTGTTTGATGCTCAATACAATCTAATACTGAGATAGATAGATAGATAGATAGATAGATAGATAGATAGATAGATGATAGATAGATAGATGAATACTCACTACCATTGAGTTGATTCCAACTCATAGCAACCCTATATGGAGTGATTTTCGTTCACTCTTGTGAAGAAGGCAGAAGAGTTCAGTCATATTCTCTACACTAGCTTTTCAAATTCCTAACAAATGGTGGTCAGTTCAATACTAGCTGGAAATATCTGAACTGATTACAATAAGGTATGGAAAAATTAGACATAAGGAAAAAAGCAAAGAACAAAAAAAGTTGATGGAGTTTAGTTCTACTCTGACACTAATGAGTTTGCTGTGAATCAGAGTGGACTCAAGTATAACTGTGTCTTTTTGTTTTGAGGATCAAGGGGCAAACCGCCGGTTACTCCAGGTGCAGAAGAAAAGAGAATGATGAAATTTAGAACACAGGGACATGATTAGTCCAAGGGAGTAAGGGAATATAGGAACATCTGTCTCCATGACCCTGAAAATTCCACTTATGTAAAATGGCTTTTTTTAAGCCAGTGCAAATTAAAATGCAGGGCAAAGAAATTCAGATATCATACAGCTTGAGTTTGATTCTGAAAAAATAGAGAACAAGGAAGTCCAACCCCATGGTGTTTGTGGTGACTTGAAATAAGACCATCTCTGTCATCCTGGAAGCTCCTGGTTTTCAGGGAACTTTGAACAAAGAATAGCTTCTTGAAATGAGGAAAAATGTATTGGACTTTGGTGGAGGCTGAGGTAGCTGAAATTTGCCAAATAAGTTATTTTTGAATCAGGAAATATTTATAAAATAATAGCTACAATTGATCCCTTTCAATTTTGGACTGAATTTAAGATCAGGCGTGGCTAAAGTAAAACTCTACAAGGCTGTGAAAAGAATGATGAGAAAGCTACACTGAATGATTCCTGAGGTCACCAGCCTAGTAGACAGTAGGGTTCTAACACGGTCAGAGCATAGGGTTATTGTTGAATTCCCAGAAGGAAAGCATGATTTAGTTCTTTATTCACTGTCTTTCTTTCTTACTATAACAGAAATACCCCAGATGGATAATTAAAATTTGAAAGACCTGGAATTTTTCCCCCACAGTTTAAAAGGGCTAGAATTCGAAGGGAGAACATCAGTTTTAAGAGAAGGTTACCTTTGTCTGCTCTTAGGAAACTTTGCCATGGCTTTCTAATGTTTTTCTTTGCATTCCTAGAATATTTCCACATGGCATCTCTTATTCGTTCTTTTTAGGCTGCTTGTATCACTGCTATTCTGCTCCTTTTACATCTCACAATTGATAGCATTAAAAAACACCCCACCTTGATATATCATTTTTAATAAGCAAAGGAAAACCTATATCCCAATGGGATTATATCCATATTTTGAAGAGACACAATTTATAACACCTGCACTTTGTTGTGGTTAGGTGCCTTGAGTAAGTTCTGGCTCATTTTGATCCAATGTACAACAGAAACAAACACATTTTGGACCTGTGCTATGCTCAAAACGGTTACATTTCTGCCCATTCTTGTAGCCATTGTGTTAATCCATCTCCTTGATAGTCTTCCTCTTTTCCGCTGGCCCTCTACTTTAGCATGCATGATGTCATTTTCTAGGGAATTGTCCCTGCTGATACATGTCCAAAGTACATGATGAGCTGAAAGCTAGCTGTCCTCATTTGTAAGGAGCATTTGCGTTGTGCACATTTGTCTGCTCTTCCGGCAGGCCACAGTACTTTCCATGTTCTATGGCAGCACCATAATTCAAATGCATCAATTTATCTGTATTCTTGGTTATAAATTGCCCAACTTTCACAGGCACACAAGGCAGTTGAAAATCCATGATTTGGATCAGGTGAACTTCTGTCCACAAGGTGACATACTTGCTTTTCACTTTAAGAAGTCTTGAACACCCAAGTAGTTAGGGGAGGAAAGCCTCAAAAGTTCAAGCTGATCTTAAGAAGACAGTAATAATACAGGACTAGTTAATATGCAGTTCACAATATTAAAAAATCAATAAAAATTAGAGATTTATGGCAGCGGAAACATGTCTCCTTTATTAATGTCCTAGTATTGTAACATGAATTTGCTTAGCATTAACCCAAAAGGGGCTTGTTGGTGCTTTGTGTGGTGTGTCAGCAATGGCTCCCACAAGTGCAAATCACATGAATTGGTAGAAAACAAATAAAATTTAATAAATGTAATTTATTACTCACAGAGATAAAGCAAGTATCTTGATAAAGCTTGATAAAGTAGAAAACAAATAAAATTTAATAAATGTAATTTATTACTCACAGAGTAATGTAATTTATGTAATTTATTACTCACAGAGATAAAGCAAGTAACATGATAAATAAAATGCACCATATATATTATATATACCTAATAGACACATGACTATATATTACTTAAGGTATCCTTCTAAAGACCTCTTTAGAGTATTAAAGGGCAAGGATGTTTCTTTGAGGACTAAGGTGCTCCTGAACCAAGCCATGGTATTTTCCATTGCCTTATGTGCATGTGAAAGTTGCATATTGAATAACAAAGATGAATCAATGCATTCGAATTATGGTGCTGGAGAGAAAATTGAAAGTAACATGGGCTCGTATAAGGACAAATTGATCT